TCAAACCCCAGGGTGCTCCTATGAGCAGCACAACCGGTACTTGAACACCAGTTAGTTTCTGCTCCCCGGGAGCCATAAGGCAACTTCTGCAGTGGGACACTCTTGGATCGTTCCCTCAGTTCCCCGAACGTTCCTTTTACGGTGAACTGGCTTTCTATCTAGATCGTTTGGTGGTCGATTAGTAATTCCTGATGTCTACGCCCCTGCGTCATTTAGGAAGTCTGCAGATGATCTCCTGGGTCCTGTCAGCATGGAGATCACGGGCTCCTGATGTTTAGCAAAGATCCGTTGCATTGCGCACCCTGCCGGGCAGGGCGGCTCACTGCCCGCCCCGGGGATGCCACTTTTTGGTCGCGGTATTAGCGAAGTCAAATAAAGCCCGTTCTGGGGCCGAGGGCACGGATTTAGAATGAACGATTTGCTTTCTTTTGGGCGCGTGTGTGGATCTGACGTTTTCGTGGCCGCTGGAGCTCCTCTGGCCGGATCGATCGCGGCGAGCGCTGGTGCTCTCTCCTCCATTGTTGCCTGCTGGCTGCCATTCCCACGGATGCAGCGAGATCCCCGAACTCCGCAGGTTAATCCCAAGAGGGTCCCCTCACTCCTGCAGGTCTGTACCACCGCCCCAGGAAGCGGCTCGTGTGGTCAATGGAGAGTTGTGGTTGCCCGCTGGGGTGGTTCAAAACTCTCTGGGATGCCAATAATCTCTCGCTTCTGCTCCCCTCGGGAACATTTGGTCTCCTCCTGGGAGGGCCACTCGCCACACACACTCCGACTTGGATTCCACTCGCCATCTGCAATATTTGTCCTGCAAATTTGACGCTTCAGCAGGAGCCCCTGGGATGGCGCGTGCAGCAGTACGGGCATCATCGCCTCCTCCTTTGCGGTTTCAGGTTTAATTCAGGGCCGCATAGGTATGGGTTCTGGGGCAAGATCACAACCAAAACCTTCATCCAGTTCCTCGTTACCATCACGGTGCCGGGTATCTCCAGCCCATATTGCGGGCTCTGCACAACGGATTCATTGCCGGATCTGTTCCGCTGAACCCGACCGCAGCACTCGGCTCCCCACATCCAATTGTTCCTGCTGAAAACCTGGCTCGGGTTGCAGCATTCTCAGGTTGTTGTTTCACTCCTGAGGTCACCAGCTCGTGCCCTCAAGTTTCCTCCGTTTTCTTCTGAAGTCAGGAGTTAGCCAAGTTTTCAACACTTGGTTTCCCGATTCCAAGGCAAGAGATTCTCCATCGACAGTTGTTTCGGGGGCAGGGACTATCTGATTGTCTTTTACGCGCAAGAGAAACGACCCTAGCACTGCACTATTCCTTTATCTTTCCCGTTTTACCTTTCCGCTGACTGCGAAACTGCTGTATCCGCTGACCACTTTATCGCCACCTCTCCAGCATTTTGGGGCCCCTTCTATTCCCGCCGGGGATGGTGCACACGCCCAACCCCGCAGCAGTTTCTCCCTGGCAATCCCGCGGGCGGTTACAACGACGTTTTCTGTTGCCTTCAGAGGTTCCACATTTGGCACAAAATCCCCGCTGGGATCCAGCCAGAGCGCTGAGATCAGAGGCGGGGGCCGGGCTGCGGGCTCCGCGCTGCGGGCTCCGCGGAGGCCGCTTCTCGGCCGGGTGGGGCGGCGGCCGCGCTCTCCTACCTGGGGCACACAGAGAGGGTGGAGCCTGAACCTAGTGCCTGACCATGTATTATGGCAGGGGGATCATTAAAGTCTCCTGTCAATCGCAAAAAATTCATAACAGATACAGCTTTCTGTGTCCTTGCTACCGGTGTAAGTCCTTCTTCCCCCGTTTTTTGTTTTTCCAATAGTTGTTTCAAAGTTTGATGTGTTCGTTCAATAATAGCTTGTCCTCCAGGAGAATAGTGTCAGTAGTAACATGGACATATTTCAGTTTCCCAAAAGAGGGTACATGAGTCACATCCATTTGCTAAAGCTGAAGAGGCTGGAGGCCTCGAGGGTTGACTCCAAGGCCTCTACCTACTGCTTGGCCTTGACAATCGTGACAAGATTAGTGATTTTTGTCATGATGTGATCTAAGGCCTCATACTGAGCTTTTGATAGAACTCTTTTTTGTTCTGCCTTTGACTCACCCTTTAAAAGGGGCATTGAGATCGGTCAGATCATCATTTGAGATTTGAGCTATTTTCGGGGATGTTGACCGGAGGAGCATGTGTTTGCACCATGATCCCAATGTTTCCAGTGTAGTCAGCATCAATTACACCGGGTAATACAAAGATTCCTTTCCTTGATGTTGATGATCGTCCCAGTAGCAAAGCACGTAACCCATGACCAAGAAGTCCATTTAATTGAGATGGAATACAGTGAACAGAAGTATCAGTTATGGTAAAATCTATTGCTGTTGCCACGTCAACTCCGGCATTCCCTGTGGTGGCGGAGGGGATGCAGTCCAGACACCCTGATTTTGTGTCATCGCGTGGGGTGGCATCGCACTCACATTCAAATTTCCCAACGGGGTTCTGTCTTTTTTAAACTTTGAATGACATTCAATTGTCTTGTGGCCAAATTTGTCACATTCAATACATTTGTCTGCAAAATCAGTAACACCACACTGAGGGGGGCGGGTTGCTGACCTGATTTTCTTTACAGTACGCTGCTTTTTAAAATGCCCCATCCGTCCACAGTTATAACATCTCATACCTTTAGTACCCCCAAGATCACCCTGACCTTGTTGTAGAAGGGGTTTAACAGCAGCGGCGAAGGCAGTAGCCATGTATCGAGCCTTTTCCTCTGCTGTGCCCACTTTAGAACATGCATCCATCATTTCTTGAAGACCAGCAGATTTTTGCAAAACCTGCAAAATACGCTTACAAGCTGGGTTAGCATTTTCCATAGCCAGAGACATAAGCATCGATTCTTTAGCATTAGATGCCAGATCAATATTCTTTTCAATAGCCTCTGTCAATCTGTCAATAAATTGCATATAGGGCTCAGTAGGTCCCTGCTTTACTGATGTGTATGAAGGATTAGGCTTTCCTGCTTCCGTCACAGCTTTCAGAGCAGCTAAAGCCAATTGCTGTGCTTGCTGTAAAACTTCAATTTTCATATGAGCTTGTACTCCATCAGGGTGAAATTGTCCCTTTCCCAATAACATTTCAGATGAAACACCGTGCAAAGGGTGATGAGGATTACACTCTGAATTCTCATCTGCAGCCCTTGCAGCAAGCTCCTCAAACCCACTTTTAAAATGTAGGAGCTGTGAAGGAGTTAATAAAATTGCAGCCACTCTGAGACAATCATTTGGAGTTAGAACATTACTAGAAAAGAAAGCAGATAACATTTGCTGTGTATATGAGGAAGACAACCCCTACTGAGTAATTGCTCCCTTAATTTCTTTCATGGCTTTCCAGTCCATAGGAGTCCAGACAGACTGTCCCTGAGAATTTATAATAACAGGGAATGCAGCGGGAACATCTATCGGTAAAATAGTACCGTCTATAACTGCATCCTGAATGCAGCCTCGCCATCTCATGGCACTCAGATTAGCTTTATTAGATGTAGGAGTCGGTGGTAACGGCACATCACACAGACTGATCTTATCTGTTTTTTTCTGTTTTTTTCTGGGGTTTGCTCCCTCTCCTCCCCCAATTTGTCCAGATGGTCCCGCAAGTCCTGCAATTGCTTATCTAAGGATTTTGTCCATTGCCCCCAGTTCCACTCATTTTGCAGCTCCAGTGGGAGCGATGCAAGCAGTGATGTATGTGGCGGAGGTGGGTATTTATTCGGAGTTACACTCTCTTCCTCAGGAGACTCCCACCCTGGCAAAAATTCTTGGAGATTAAGATTAGGGGCAGTAGCAGCATGAAAAGGGTTAACATCAGTTTGTTTTGGTTGCTCAGTAGCCACTACTGGCTCCCTAGTATCAGCTGGAACTACCACCGGTAAAGGCATTGTCGACACAGGATAGGGGAAAGGCGCAGGGTCCTCAAACATTCGTACCGTACTGCGTGCTGGTTTTTGACCAGAATATTTTATGCTCAAAACAGACGAGACTACCATGGCTGTAGCACCGGGTGCTGAATCTAATGTAGGTGCCGAGCCCTGCTGTTGTGAAGGCGAGTCAGAGAGAGCTGTAAAAACGGATTTTGCCACCTTCATTACGGCTAGAGTCCCTTTTAGTAGTAACCAGGGGGCAGAAAGAGACTTCGCCTCCTTAAACCGAAGAGTAACTTGATCCCACAGGCATGCCCCAATTTTTCTCCAAGTCCCGAGATCAAAAGCTTCATTAACCCCCTGGATCAGCTCTTTTTCTTTACCCAGAGCAACAATCTTTTTAACAGATTATCGTCATATTCTATCCCTCTCACTGAGAGGATATGCTGGAAGAGCTTAAGGATAACCATTTTTTTTTTTCCCATCCTAACCGTCTTCCAGACCCCGTTGGCTGTTACTTTATTTGCACTGCACAGTGTCTTCCGGGCTCACTAGGTTTCGTTCCGAGGCGTCTACCTCCCGATCCTGGTCCTGCCGGATCGAACCCAGCTGACGTCCCTGAGGCTCCGTGGTTTCCACTTTCTTCGGTGCCACACACTTTAATTCCTTCAGTTTCAATATGAAAAATATGGGGGGTCCCTGTTCGGGTACCAATTGCTGCAGAATATATACGGACTCAGTCAGAGATCAATATGATCAGACAAAAAGCCGTTTATTACAAAGCCTTAACCCCTTAAATACTATTTCTTACATGCACTTACAGTGATTTGGCATATTATGATTGGATACATGTCTTGAAGAGCCTTTGCAACTAGGATATAATTGTTTAAGCACAGGTGTGGGAACTTGACCTCGAAAGCTTGCCAACAGTCCACAGTTCTCATTACCTCAGTGAATTCCATCTTCTTCTTATCTTGCTTGCTTAAGCTTCCTCGGGCCTCTCATGGCCTTGCTGTATCTTTCAGGATTATTCAGAGTTTATGTACCAATTATCCATTCTCCTGTGAGAACACTGTCTCCACAGTGGGATGATGCTCATCTATGGGACACCCCATAGGGTCCCTTGTGCCTGCATCACCCAGTGGGGCGGGATGATGCTCGCCCTTCATCCCTAACCATCCAGTGTTGGGCTTCTGCTTCCAGAGGGACCTGTGGTACCCGTCCCATGGCTGATTCCTATGGGATGTCACACATCGTCGGGGGCGTGGATGTGCAGCAGGGCACCTGGCCATGGATGGTCAGCATGCAGTTCCCCACGGCCACCGGCTTCTCGCACATCTGCGGGGGGTCCCTCATCACCCTGCAATGGGTCCTCACGGCTGCTCACTGCTTCATCGGGCAAAAGTAAAGGGGAGAAGGGATTCCAGCCATAGGGAATAGCCAAGGAGCAGCTCCCATCTTGTCCCCTTCCCCATCCTGGATGCACTGGGAAGAGTGCTCAGGAGAAGGCTGCTTCCAGCTTGACAGTCCTTGAGCCTAAGGTGTGCTGGGGCAGTGCTTTCCTTTGGGCAGCAGCAGGAATGTGGCTCCTTCCCACCCCTCCATAGAATGGGATGGGATGGAATGGAATGGATCATGGAATGGGTTGGGTGGGAAAGGAGCTTGGGATCATCCACTTCCAAGCCCTTGCTTGGAAGGCAGGGATGCCTTCCATAGAGCAGCTTGCTCCAAGCTGACCTTGAGCACTGCCAGGGATGGAGCATCCAAACCTTCTCCATCCATCCCATCCCAGTGCCCCAGCTCCCTCATAGGGAATGCCTTCCTTATCTCCAACCTGCATTTCCTAGTCAGAACCCATCACCCCTTGTCCTATGGCTCCAATCCCTGCTCTTCCAGCTGCACCACGGATTGGTTCGTGATGGTCGGAATCACGGACCTGGCTTGGGCCAATTCCGAGACCCAGAAACGTTGGATCCAGAGGGTCGTGGTCCATGAATATTACACCAATGTCTCTGATGGCTTCAACATTGCCTTGGTGGAGCTGGACCAGCCGGTGCAGTGTGGGTACCACGTGCAACTCGCCTGCCTGCCCAATGCGGCACTCAGGGTATCCCAGGTCTCCGAGTGCTTCATCAGCGGATGGGGTGCGAAGGAGGCCAGAAGTGAGTGCCTGACGGCCCCGTTGGCCTTGGGATGCCGGGTCATGGATTCATGGAATAGGATGGAAGGGAGGGTAAAGCTCATCCAGGTCTACTGGATGTTGCTCCGACTGGGGATGGAGCATCTCAGCCTTCTCCATCCAACCCATCCCAGTCTCCCACCACTTCCTTCTCTCCAACTTGAACATCCCTGGTTCAGTTGGAACCCATCACCCCTTGTCCCATCGCTGAAGGTCCCTCCATGTCCTCCTTATGTTGAGGATGCAGAGCAAAGGGGATGCAACCCATGCCATGGGGTGGTGTTGATGGCTCCCATTGATCTTCTCAGCCCCAAATACCCCCATATCCGTCCCTTCTCCCCACAGTCCTGACCCTCTTTGTGTCCCCACAGCGGGGGCATCGTCCCCATCTGCCCTGCAGGAGGCCACGGTCCGCCTCATCGATGCCAAGCTCTGCAACAGCAGCCTATGGTACCGAGGGGCCATCAAGAGCCACAACCTGTGTGCTGGGTACCCGCAGGGTGGCATCGACACCTGCCAGGTAGGGATGTGCCACTGGGGCTCCCTTCTCCTCTCCCATCTGCAGGGCCTTGCTCTGCATCCCCCTTTATCCCAGCTTTGGAAGCACATCCAGCTCCTGCTCCATCATCCCTGCGCAGGGACCATAGAGGTTGGACCTTTAAGAGCATTGAGATTCCACCACTAAACCATGCCATGAGCATGGATTCATGGAATGAGTTAGGTTGGGAAGGAGCTTAAAGCATCCAGTTCTAAGCAAGGGGCAAGGATGCCTTCCATTAGACCAGGTTGCTCCAAGCCCCATCTATCCTTCTTCATCCTACCCATCCCAGTGTCCCACCACCCTCATAGGGAATAACTTCTTATCTCCAACCCAAGTCCCCTATTCCAGTGGGAACCCATCACCCCTCGTCTTATGGCTCCAATCCATGCTGAAGGTCCCTCTCCACACCCAAATGATGGAGAACCCTTCCATCCCCATAGGGTGACAGCGGTGGTCCCCTCCGGCATTGCCATGGTGACCCATCCCAATCCTCTTCCTCTCCCGTTCTCTTCCATAGGGTGACAGCAGTGGTCCCCTCTGCGTTGTCATGGCCACCCATCCCCATCCTCATCCCTTCTCTGTTTCTCCTCCATAGGGTGACAGTGGCGGTCCCCTCATGTGCCGGGACAACCATGCCAACTTTTTCTGGGTTGTGGGGCTGACGAGCTGGGGCCGTGGCTGCACCAGAGCCAAGCAATCGGGGGTCTACACCTCAACAAGGCACTTCCATGAGTGGATCCTCTACCATGTGGGGATGTTTCACTCCGCGGGAGCCTCCGTGACGCCCCCGGCATGGAGCCACCAGCACGTCTCGCATGCGCCCATCCAGCAGACGATGCCGGCTCCAACGGCCTCGAGCACCAGTGACATCTGCTCCTTCCCATACCGGGTGCTTGTGGAATTTGTCAGTCGGGTGCAGGAGTTGCTGCAGGCTCTAAGGGGGAAGAAGACTTGGGGAGCGGCATCGCTTGAAGTTGGCTTGAGCTTCAATAAAGTTGCCTTATTTTCCCATAGAGAGGATGCTTTGCATGCCTACCTCTTCTTCTGGTCCATGCGCAGGAATGGGGATGAGGGATGGAGGGCAAGGAAGGGTGGGAAGCGGGAACTGGGAATCAGGGAATCAACCAGTTTGTGAAAGACTTTCAGGAGCATCAAGTCCAGTCATTGCCCCACCATTAAAGCATGGCATGAAGAGGGGGGGTCCCCATAGGGTGGTGGGCGTCCCTATACTGGTGGAGGGGTCCCCCCTTATTTGCACCTTGTTTTGGCATCGCTGATGGTCCCCCGAGACGTCGAAGGCGAACTCATCCGGGAAGGCAAAGTCCCTGAGCTGGGAATCCAGGGCCTGCGCCAGTGCATCCGGATCCGGTGCATCCCGGCCCAGCTCCACCATGGTGGCAGCTGCAGGGATACAGGGATGACAGTGGGGAGATGGGGGTACCAAAGGGGTTCAATGGGGGGAATGCCAGCATCCACTGGGGGGCATTCCATGGAGAGGGTGCTATGGAGGGGTCCAAGCACCCATTGGGGGGGGTCCTATAAAAGTGTCCCATGGGGGGCATTCCATTGGGGGCCCATGGGGGATGCCAACATCAATTAGGGGAAGTCCCATGGGGGGATCTCATGGGGGGGTGGGGTCCCTACAACTATTGGGTGGGTCTAATGAGCAGTCCCAGCACCCATTGCGGGGGTTCTCATGGGGGGATGGGGTCCATTAGAGCTGTTCCAGCATCCATTAGGGAAGGTCTTATGGGGGGGCCTCATGTAGGGGTCCCAGCACCCATGGAGTGGATTCCATGAGGGGGGTCCCAGCACCCATTAAGGGAGGTCCCATGGGGGAGGTCCAAGCACCCATAATGGGAGGTCCCATAGAGGGGTCCCATGGGGGGGTACCAGTACCCACTGGGGGGGGTCCTATGGGAGAGACCATGGGAGGGGGTCACAGCACCCATTGGGAGGGGTCCCAACACCCATTGGGGGGGTCACATGGGGGGGTCCCAGCACACATTGGTGGGGGTCCAATAGGGAGGTTCCATGGGCCGGTCCCAGCACCCATTAGAGGGGGGCTTATGAAGGGGTCCCAGCACCCATTGTGGGGTTCCCAGCACTCATCGGGGGGTTTCATGGGGGGGATCCCATGAAGGGAGTCCCAGCAGCCATTATGGGAGTTTTTATGGGGGAGCCTCATGGGGGGGGGGTGTCAGCACCCACTGGGGGGGTTCCATGGAGGGTGTCCCATGGGGGGATCCCAGCACCCATTGAGGGGTTCCACGGGGGTGCTTCCATAGATTGGTCCCATGGGGGTTCCTAGCACCCATGGGTGCTATGGAGGAGGCTAGATGTGCGTCTCTGTTACCATCCACTCCCGTTCCTTCTTCTGCGTTGTTACACTCCCATTCCTTCTTTCTCTTTGTTAATCAAGTCTTCCCTTTGGTTGTTTTTTACAATATGATTTCCAGTTCCTATCCAAAAATGTACCTCCGTCTATACGATTGCTGGAGTATAGTACAGCTGCTGAGACTGCATTTTGGTACTTCCTGGCTATGTTGAGGAGTTTCTCAGAAAAATATAAGCCAAAAGAGACATAACACAACCCACTGGGAAAGCAGGAGTGTTGGTGGCAGTAGGCCAGGAGGCCCCTCTGAACAAGTCCCTCTGGTCCCTGAAAGCAGAGGCGTGGGATGTGCTCATGATGCCTTCACTGCTGCCATTGTCAGGGTTTTCTGATGTCCTCAAAGTAAGCACTGTGAAAGGTTAACCCAGGACTATGGTTTTCCTGAGTCTCTAAGGCTTTAGTCTGAGAAGTTTTCCTTGAAAAGTGATCGCAGTCTCTGTGTTTTGAGTCTTGTGCTTGGAGGAAGCATTTGCAGAAGTGTCACTGAGGAGTAGTCATGAGCACTGTCAAGAAGCTGTTGAAGACCGATGACATTTCAGTCCAAAAATTTACTCTGTGGATTTGAAGAAATCACAGCGAATGTTAGTGAAACTGGTTTTGCCAGGTTGTGTGGTTTGTTACCAGTGCACCGTAGAACAGACCTTGGTGAAAATAATTTAACCTTGTAAAATGTGAGGCAGTTGAGCTAACCCCAGTTTTAAAGGGAACTTGTATGTGCAGTGAAATTCCAGAAGCTGTCAAGTGTGAGGATCTGGGGTGCAAACTCCTCAGACTGTCCCTTCTTTACATCACAGGAGGTTTGTCAGGGGTAGGAGCAGATGCTATTATTATCATTCTGTTTCCTGACCAGTTGCTTTCGGGTTTCAGCCGTAAAAAGCTTTTGGTTGATTTTGGTGCCTCCTTCTGACCAGCTAGAAACAGGCAGCTTTCACAGTGTAGCGTTTGCCGATAATGATTTTGCAGGCAGTGCACACACAGTGTGCTCAGTGCGAGCGGAGGAGCCACAGTTTTTGCAGGGGCATTTTACAGACCTCACTTCTCGGAAGCAGGACTACAGATGCCTGTAACAGTGCCTGGGTTGTTTCAGCTTAAAACCGTGCTGTGAAAACACCTTCTCAAAAGTTAGCATTCTTTAGCTCACATACTTCTTTAGACCAAATCTTCTGGTTTTGGAGATGTCTTGGCATGAAACACCCAGGATCTGCTTGGGATTTGTTTGGTTGGTTTTCTTGTTTTGTTTTGTTTTGTGCTTGCAGTGTCACCAATCACAATAGTAGAATTTAAATATCAATATGTGCTGTCAGGTTTTGAAAGGTAGGATGTACAAGCACCCATAACCCTGATGTTACTTGTCTTATATCCACTTCCATAGGAACAAGATCACTCTGTTTCACTTCAACATTCTGAAATGTGCAAGCCCTGTAGTGTTAATAAACGTACAGCGCCCTACAACGCAGGTGAGTGAAGTACCGAGATAATGCATTCTCCCTGCATCTTAGTCATGGTGCTTAAGAAATAGACATAACTTTTGTTTGATTTAAAAATTTATATCCATCAAAAGGTAACATGGCTGGTTTATAGACCACCTGTAGCACACGGTCCCTGTAGCCTATGGTGGTCAGAAGAAATACACAGAAATGCACAAGATTGAGTGTTTTGGATAAGAGCTGACAAAAAAAACCCAAAACAGTCTGTTTAGCTGAATGCAGCAATTTGTAACTTATGAGTTCATCACAAGCAGATGTTGAGCAGTAATCAGTGCATGCAGAAAATACTTCTGATCGACATCTAGGGCTTTCCAAAGTAGACGTGTTCAAGAAGATGTGCATACCCCCAGTGACAGGAGTATTTGGGTATGATTACTGCCTGCGGCACTTTGCAAAGTGAAGATCTCGAAGGCTTGTTCTTGCCATGTTCCACAATTCGCAGTCCTTTGGCTGTGCTGCAGCATCCCATGTAGCTGTGAAATAAACCCAGTTGCTGAGCATGTGTGGGTTAACATCATCCTGCTGATGTTTTTCCATGAGACCATTTCACTGACCTGCTTTGTTGAACAATTGCACAGTTATGCTCATCTGTTCCATCTTCTGAGGCAACAACCTATGACATGGAGAGGTCAGAGTGTAAGCGGCGGCGAGGAGAAGCAGACAGGCCAACCCAATATGGTTGCCTTTTTATAATCATTAAGCACTGAGTCAAATAGTTCATCACCAAACTTTCGCCACTCACTCTTCTCAAATACTGTATTAGGATCTGCAAAAAAAATCTCTTAGCCTTCCCTACAGCCAGTAGACCTGCTAGCTGCTTTAGAGTCTCAGGCTCAATTCCCCGCTTTTATAAAAAGCACTGTAAAAAGTTCAGGGCTCAGTTCCCCGCTTTTATAAAAAGCACTGTAATAAGTCCAGGGCTACCTCTCGGTCCATTTTCATGGCCAGCCTTTTCCGGATCGTCTTCTTCTGGGTCGTCCTGTAACCTCGGTCTCCGGATCGGCCTCCCGACGCAGCAGTGTCTGGTTCGCCCCAGCGGCGGATTTTTTCGGTTAGTCCAAGCACCCGGGTCCGTCACGCCACCGCAGCAGCATTGCCCGCGCTTCCCGGCCGCTGCCGCCGGCGCCGCTCACTCGCCGTTCCGGGTCCCCGTCGACCGGGGCCCTGTATCCCGGGTCCCCGCTAGTCGGGGCCCTGTATTCGGGTCCCCGTCGACCGGGGCCCTGTATTCCGGGTCCCCGTCGACCGGGGCCCTGTATTCCGGGTCCCCGTTAAACTGGGGCCCTGTATCCGGGTCCCCGTTAAAACGGGGCCCTGTATTCCGGGTCCCCGTCGGCCGGGGCCCTGTATCCGGGTCCCCGCTAGTCGGGGCCCTGTATCCCAGGTCCCCGTCGGCCGGGGCCCTGTATCCCGGGTCCCCGCTAGTCGGGGCCCTGTATCCCGGGTCCCCGCTAGTCGGGGCCCTGTAATCCGGGTCCCCGCTAGTCGGGGCCCTGTAATTCGGGTCCCCAGTGACCAGGGCCCTGTAGTCCGTGTCCCTGTTCGGGCGCCATTTGTAAGCGGCGAGGAGAAGCAGACAGGCCAACCCAATATGCGTGATAAGCAACTTCTAGTTTATTTGTGACGCAGTTCACACATATATAGGAGTGGTATTCAGCCACTCCTTCTTGGCATAACAGTATTGGTTAGCCCCCACAGCTTCCTCCACATTCTCCTCCCAGGTCCGGTCTCCGGCCACCTGTGGGGGCCACCCCCTGCCTTGCTTGCACAGTCCTCCAGAACTCTATGGTTCTGCTCTTAGAGTCATTCTGCAACATCAGAGGACTTCGGTGAAGGGCTGCTCTGATCCAACTTTGCTGCCACAGTAATTGTACTGTGTAACTAAACTGCAGGTGACCAAGTATGGTCTTGGCCATGTTGATAACATTCAGTGAGGTCCGGTATTAATCTGGATGAGGGTTGTTACATGGTCACCAATTTTCTGATTCCAAATGTTAATTGTCTTTATTTGACTGTCATTTAAAAATGCTTCCCATTCCAGCTTGTCCTTACTCCTGATCCCTGGCCTTGATAGATGTTTCTGGCCTATCAGTTAGTGTGACCATATGGACTATTTGACACAGCTGAAGAGATGGAAATCTCCAGCAGGGAAGAGCAAGAACCCTCTTAACACTGACCAGCTGCTGTTGGAATGGAAACTGTCTCTGTCAGAAACAGGTTTGTTCCAGGAATCCCTGTCTGCTCACATGCAAA